ACACATATATAAATATAATTTTTCTATTTTTGTTTCTGATTTTAATTTGCAGATATTTTCTGCCTGGAATCAATTTTGAGGGTTCAGATTTAGCTGGGGAAAAAAACATATTACACATCCTTCAGTATAGGAGATGAGGGAGTGAGAGAAAATATTTTTTGAAGAAGCATTTCTGTAAAATTAGAAATTACTTTTTTTAATCTATGTAATGTTTGGCTTGGAAAATGCCATCTTTGCCTATATGGCCTTGTGTTTCAAAGCAGATCATTGGCTGGAGTGCCTGTCGTGGGTGTGAGTGTGTACAAGTGATTGAAGCCAAATCTGTTGTCATGTTAGTAAATGATTTGCAAACTGAATGTAATACTTGAGTAGATTTTTTTTTCCTATTTGGGAATTTAGTCTGTTTTTGATTTTGCTAATGTTTCAGTCAACAAGACTGTTAAGCTGGTTATAATTGGAGATGTAACTTACCATCTAGTTTGATACTCAAGGAAGAATGGGGTTATGCAAAAAACTGAAGTTTTCATTTTAAACCTTAGTGAATGAGTCAAATGGACTTCAGAGGTTTGAACTGCTCTGTGATTTTTTTTTTTTTTGCTCCCTAAAATGTTTTTTTGTTTTGTTTTGTTTTTGTTTTTTTAGGGGGTGGTGGTAGTTATTCATTTGTTACCTTGTATACTTTTAACTGCCCACCCCAAAATGAAATAACCAACCATCTACTTTGATCAGTATAGTCAAATCATATAATAGCTGTTCTAAACTTCTAAATTGAGCTTTGAAGTATTCCACTCTTGTGTTCACATATTTAGAACTCTAGATCCCAGAATGGTAGGACAGACTGACCCTACAGTAATTTATTTGTGTTAGTGTTAAAGATTGTAACTGGCTCCTTAAGTGTTAATAGTGTAGAAGTAAAAAGAAGGTTTTGAGTTTTGTTGTTGTTGTTTTATAGTAAAAAAGGTTTATTTGAGGGCAGTTTAATTCTGTTTACAGTGTATTTATCATTTCCTTCCCCTCCCTTCTTCCAAAAAAATAAATATATATATATGTACAGTTTGGAATTCACTGAGACAGAAATAGCAAGTCATTTTTGAACTAAAGTGAGAGAAATGGTTAAGAAAATTGATGCATAATTTTTCAATAAAGTTGAAGCACTCATATATTAAATAGGCAAGTGTATGTGCTGGTATTTAGAAAAAGGCTGAAATAAAAAAAAACCATGTTGCATTAATCTATTTTTAATCATACCATAATTGGCGTTCTATGTAAGGTGGGTGTTATTTTTATTTTAAAAGGGATGGTTTGTAATAGTATTAACTGTCCCTTTATGTTAGTGAATTACACGTGTACAAAGTAAAACTGTAAATTGTGAACACTGGAAAGCACCATTGTGACATAAAGTAAACATCTTAATAATATATTAAAATGAATGTAAATGAGGATTGAAATTACATTACTGTGAAACTCATTTTCCAACTCTTAAGTTAAACTTTGAAGATTTGTGTTAGTAGGTAACTGTTAAGAGCTTTGAAAACAATGCACATTTCTGTTCTGTATAGCCAAAACTACTCTTTCGTTGTAACTTAATTACTCAATTTAGCAGTTGCTTTTCATTTGGTAGTTTGATGCCATGGCATAATATATTTAAGCAGTTTCAAACTATTCATTTCCACACACTATATTTTTCAATCATCTACTAGATGAAACATGCAATAAAACTACCTATGCTGAAATTTGGGCAAGTTTAGGTCTTTTAAAAAAAAGTATTAATAATCATTGATTTACATCTATAATAAAAGTGCTTATTTTTGTTTACTTAGATAATGCTGCAGTTGGTGGAAATGATAAACATTTAAAGTGTTAACTAACACTGTGAATGCATTGGATTTAAGAGAATAAACAGTTTTTAAAATCACTTGGTAAGGATTATAAACTTGATTATTGCACTTAAAATGAAACGTTACTTTTTGTTTTAAACAATGTGCCACAGATTTAACCTTTATTTATATGCTTGTGTGACTAATAGTCCACCCAACTCCTAAAAAGTAGAAATTCAGTTGAAACACAAGAGTCCAGATCTTGAAGAAAGCAAGTATGTTTTTCCTAAATGTTATTGAAAGTTCAAATATATTAAAGATGTGACCACTTTTTAATTTCTTAAGAAATGCAGCATTTCTAATTTAATTTGCTTCTTTGTATCTAATCTCTTTTTGATGGGGTGTATAGGGAAGAATAAATGTGTGTGTGCGCGCGCATGAGTGCATAAAACCGATTCAAAGTATGTATTTAGTGTTTATTTTATTGCAGCAGATTTAAGGTTTGTATCAAAATGATGCCTATGAGTTGTATGAAACTTGACTTTTTTTTTTTTTTTTAAGCATTATTTGTAATTGATGAGTGTTAGGAAGTTAATTGTAGTTGAACTATTTATTTGGTTCTTTAGAAGGAGGATTTTAAATACCAAATCTTTTCCCTCTTCACCCTTATTACTTAATACTTCTTTGGGTTGATGGAGGCTAAAAATACATACAGCTGACATTTCTGAAACAAATTCTTCTGTGTGGTACAATGATTTTCTATAGTTCTTAATGCATGAAGAGAACAAGAGTCACACAAGTTCATAACCTTTTACTTCATAGAGAAGGTGCATTGATACATTGCAAACTCCTATCTCCATTTTCTATCCTAATATCTAGGCCTGTCTTTGAGTAATTTCAATTATAGATACTGGTGTTCAAAATAGTGCTCCATCTTAAGGTTTTTCAGCAGGATTTTGGAGGAAGACAAAATCTTTCATTGGTATGGGTTCCTTCTTGTCTTACAGGCTCCATTTGTATGTCATCAAATGGCATGCAGAATTCTTATTTATTTTTGATTCCTAAAATTAGGTAGGTAGAGTACTATTTTACATTCCATTTTCTTTTTAAGTAACCAGATTGGCTTTGCTAAAGGTTTAATGATGGAGTATTAGCATATTCACTGGTGTAAAGAAAAAGCAGTCTGGCTTCTATTTTGCTGGAGCAGAAAATAGTACTTAAGAATTCCTTAACCTTTTCTCTAATTTAATTAGTTATGGCCTCAATATTTAATATCTGGACACAGTTGAACAACACTGGGTTTAAGTCTCTAATATTTGTGTTGGCAATATGTATTAAGCATATTTTTAAAATACTAGTTCATTTGCAAAAAATAAAAGGTGGAACAATGTATTGCTTCTTGATGGATTTTTATAAAATTGTAATTTTTTTCCTAATTTTTTATATTTCCTTATAATTTGATGGTCACTAATTTAATTGTAGGCCTTTTGATGTATGTTACATAGCTAGTCTGAGCTTCCAAAGAGATGCATAGACATTTCAGTTTTTGTTAGCAGAATGAAGACATTTTAAGAAGTTCTAAGAGTTGTTTTCAAGTGGAGGTGAGAATAAATCCTCTTTTTAAATTCACCTGATTATTAAATATACTGAAAATTTATTTTTAAAGCTTGAGAAACTTTTAGTCCTTGAATAGACTCAGTTTTCCGTTTTGCAGCATTTCACATCAACAATGATTTTTTTTACTTGATTTAGGTGTGTCCTTTAAAAAACATCTCTTAAATGTTGGGGAATGGGGGTCAGACCAGTTATCTGGCTTCTATTCTGTTCATTTCATTAGGATTGTTCCTGTTGTCAAAACTGTCACAAAAAAAAGTGTGGTGTGAAATATGCTCATGCATAAATTGTTAAAATGAGTACATACTTGTATTTGTATTTTTTTTTCCAACATTGCCAAGGTGCTATGGGAAATTAAAGTAACACAAAATTAGAAAAAAATAAAATTATTAAAAAGCAGGAGATTGGTTTTCTT